TTATTTTAATAAACAGTAAATGGTATTCACCATCATCCAATTTCGGAATATCAGGCAAATGGATCATATATTTTTTTTTTTTTGGTGCCATATTATCTTCATCAGATGATTCAAATAACTTAGCAGCATGTAGTCTTCACCGTTTTTTGGTTTGTTCAGTAGCTTCTAAATCTGAATGGGATTCTGCTGTTTTAGGTTTTTTTCTTAATGACAGAAAGTTATAATAGTTATAACAATAATTTTTATTAGGTAAAACATATTTTTACATAAAATAAAGAAATCTAATTTACAGTGAAATTAGGTGAATTTTGTTTACCTTCACTTGCTATAATTTTAGTAATACTAAAAACCTCCCATTCTGGATCTGGATCATTCATTTTAAGAACAGATCGGTCATATTTGATACGGTCCGTGGTTTTATTAGGAAAATATRTATGAGTTTCATCTAGGAATCATGTTTTTGGGATGATTTCAATACTACCATCTTCAAATTCAATAATAGAATATTAACAAATCAGCCTGAAAGTAGACAAAATGTGCAAATGTTACTTTTTCTAACACCTTCAACATTATTTTTATATTCAAACTCACTTAATATTTATTTGAGTATTATTGAGTGAAGACATAATTATTGCAGCCTATATAATGAGAATTTGTATTTTATTAAACAAATATTATACATATTATACACATATTACTACTATTTAACTCATAAAAAATAGTATTTTCTTTTATACATTATGAACTAATATAAAAAACAATGTWTTCTGGTTAAGTGCTGGTATTGTTGCTGCTTTTTTAGGAGTATTTTGTTCTGATAAATTAATTACTTCAATATATCCATAAGTGTCACATAAGTATTTTCCTACTTTACTTGATGCACACGGAGTAAGATAATAATCAGTTACATTTTTAAAATAATATCCAACGAGATAAATATGATCATTTTTAGATAGTATATTTATGACAACAAATATTTTATTGTGTGGTAAAATAATGCAATCATCTCTATAGGTAAAATGTTGTCTTAGTCTATCAGGGTGTGCCTGAATCTTAAAATTTGGAAATATTATTGTCCAATACATTTGACTTCCATGATACCCTTCTAAAATATTCCCATCTTGATGGGGTTGTTTTAAAATAGGAGTGGTCATTTTTTTAGAAGATATACAAAAAGAGTTTCTTCTATCTTCTATTATTCTGTTAGCTAATTCTGACAGTGGGAATTTTCCAGATTTCATATATTTTTTTAGTCTATTTAAAAAAGTTTCATATGAACATGCAGAAAAATATCAACTGATCCGTATTGTAATACATCAGCTGGCAAATGGATTATTGAATGAACATTATAAGATACTAAATGTGTACCATACAATAATATAAATKTTTCCAAAAAATAATTTAATAAACTTTGTGCATAACCATTTTTGTCGATGCAAGTTATTGGAGATGCAAGTAATCTCATTGCTACATGAAAACTCATAAAATTGTTATACAGCTCAATTGGTAAAATACCTCTAGAAAGAACTGGAGTAAGATACAACATTTTAAGTCTTAGCTAAGTAGCTTTAAATATATTGCAATTTCTTAAGGTATGAGGAATTCTGGAGAAGTCAGTGCTAAGATGTATAGATAATGTATTTAAACAATTATCAATTTCAACCAAGGATAATGTACTTAATCTAACAAATCTAAATGGACCAGTTTTATCTTTTTTTATAGGACCTCTAACAAACAAATTCAGTAATTTTTTTGTCATACCTAAAGTACATAAATGCATGTAATCGAGAGATACACTACATAAAAATTTGGAATTTCTATTAGAGGTGTAACACATATGTGATGTTCTGGCTGTGTTTGAAGTCTAAATGTTCGCAACTCACAGGAACCATTAGGAAAACATATCCGATCTTTATCATAAATACCTTCGACAGTACATTTTTCACATGCATAGTAAGATTGATGAGGTGTGATACACTTTAAAAATGCACGTGCAAGCGCATCTRMTATAAATCCAAAAAAATTTAATTTCTTTGTGCCACCACTATAGTTGAAGCCACAARTAAGAACAGTTTTTAAATCTGAAATTAAAGGAAACAAATACTCGGAACAAGATTTTGGTTTAAGACTTCCGCAGTATACACCAATAACAAAAACTTGTAATACTGATTCATTACAGACACCACCAAGTATAGGCCAAAAATAACGATTTAAAATCTCTGTCCCATCTCAGTGATATCCAATGATTGAATATATCTTGTGTTTTCCATTGAGTATGTAGTTGTAACACATACTTAAGTCCATCAACTAATCCAAAATGAATGTACTGCCCTCCATCAGATTGAGTAATAATATTTAAACTACCCGATCTAGGACAAAAAAGAAAMGTCCTGGCATCTGATGGGAGTTCTTTCAAAATATTTATGTCATTCACATTTTTTAATAAACATAAGAGATCGTTTACTTTATTACGAGAGAAATTACCATCAATTATAAGCTTAGTAAGTTTATTTTTAAAGTAGTTTGGAGTAAAATTATCATAATTTTCTTTCTCAATATTTTGAAGTAAATAGTATTATTTGAAGGTGTTTGATCATTTATAGAATTTATATTTTCATTTTGAACAGAAATACTTGGTTGATTATCAGGAAATAAAAATGTTTGGTGTGGAAGTTCGTTATTTATTATAGTTTGAGGTTGTAAGTTGCTTTCGAGTAAATTGACTATTTGTGCTGAATGATTTATTCCTTGCAATCTTCGCTTTCTACACACTGTAGACAACTCGGAAGTAGGCCTATCGTGTTGTCTTGGCATATTAACTTACAAAATTTGCAATCTATTTGAAAATTAATTCAGTATATTAATAACTTTAAATTCAAATGGATCAAATAAAAAAAAAATCAGAAATAAACAAAGAGAAATATACTGTTAAAATTGATGAATTTAATTCATATTAGATTATAATTTATACTACATTTATAATATAAATTTATCTGTGCACATTTTAAACCTTATGACAACTGACAAAAGATGTACCTACCCAATTAATAGTGGTAAGTAACAGTTAACTATTTGAAATCATGCATACTATGGAATTATTATAATGATACTATTTATACCTACTAAATAATATTGTTAGGTATAYACATAGGTATTTATATTTTAATATTTGTATAATATAGTGATTATTTTGTATACATCATTAAGTGTATATTGCAAATCTATTTATCAAAAAAAGTATCATATAATATATTATTATGTACTAAGTAGCTATAGCTGAATCACCTTCTACATACCTACAACTAACCCTTCTATAATAAACATTAACAATATAATATAATGTAATTATAATTATTTATATTAACAATTTAACAATGATAAGTTCCTATTATGTTACTATTCATTTTTTTTTTTTAAGGTGAATCAAGTGAACTCAAAGAGCAATATACAATATCAGCTAGGTACAGTAAACACCTGTAACTAGAGAGCCTAGATATATAAGAATATATAGGTATATAGTATGCACTCTACCTACAACTTGTGAAATAAATTCAAACAATCAGAAAACTGAACAACCTTATATGTTGAGGTAGACTTATCAAAAGGAAGGTAGAATGGAAATTTCTTGACAATTGAAAAAAATAAATACTGCCAAGCTCTTTAGAAGTATAATGGTCCATGAGAACTAAACAGTACAACTAAATTAATAAATTTAGTAGATAAAATTATATTTCGAAAACACCAAAGCCTGCAATAAAAATAACTCAGTATTTATGATGTTAAACTTTGTCAATATTATTTGAAACTTAAGATTTCATTATAAATTATTTAGTTGTAAATTAATCAAATCAGTGTTCAGGCTGTCTGTCGGGCAGTTAATAATTTTCACTGAACTGTTTACCACGAGGTCGACGAGATGTTTTCGGGGTATATCGATGAGCAACCCGTAGTAGTGAGTAGTGACGGCTCGCATACCCTCTTTATCGAGCGCCTCAAGCACGTGATTCACGCGCGACAAATCGGAGCGTATTCACTTGTTCGCGAACATGGCGTCTGCGTGCGTGAACAATTGTGTCGTGGAGCTGCGCCAGAACCCTGGCAATCTGACATGTGCGACCGCCGAGACTTCTGAACTCGTGGTCGAAACATCGGGCGATGTCATTGTGGTGGTAAGTGACGTGATGCCTGGCGTCAAGGCAATGACGGTGAGCGGYGCGGTAACAAMCGGTGCGTCTGAAAGCATGCCGTGTGATTACGTGGATATAAGCGGGTACAGAACAGCACGGGACAGTAACGGAACGACGACGCACGTGGTCAAAACGAAATAACGGTGACGGACTTGCGAACGCGCAGAATTGCACCGCGTTTAACGGAAAGCAGAAACGAAAAGAAAAAACTTGTGTTCGGAACTCGAGGTCACCAATGTGGCGTTAGTGGAGGAAAAACCGTCTCACACTAACGACCAACTTTTCTGACTTGGAACAGAAGGTTTTAAATAAAAAAGTAAACGACAAGTTTATTGTGATAGCAGGTACAAAACCAAATATATTGTTCGACAGACAAAACAAACTATTAGTTATCGGACAAAGAAAGATAATGGTTAGTTACAAAAAATGCGACACGCGCGGTGTGGTTGGGTGCGATTTTTAACGAGTCGCGAATCGTGACAATAGCCGTAGGTAAGTTGGCCAAAGCACAGACTTGTACGTACACCGGTCACGAAAAAAAAAGTGAGTAGCCACGGCGAGCGTTGGTAGCTTTGAGCCCGTAACGGCGAAAAAATTGTCGCGCGCGGCGGGAGAAAAAATATAGCGGTGCGTTGCCGTGCGACCAAAGACAATACAAAAATTATAATACATAAATAATTCACAGCTAAGAAAAATAAAAACGTTTACAACATGTASAAATAATTAAACGTTAGGAACAAAATGGTAACGACAATAATAAAACGAACGCGCTAGCGTAAGTGGTGATTACGACGTGTTATCACCACAATGTTTATTTGTTGTTGTGMTATAGTTGTTATCAGTTCGTTAATTTTAAAATCCAAAAATTGATCGTCTTGTATTGGGAGAGTTAAATAACACTAGGTGCGCTGTTATCGCTTTGAAAATGACCGCGAAAGCAGGATATAGTATATTGTGTGGCAAGGGCGGGAAGTGAGCCATTTCAGTCGCGGGCGTCGTGTGCGGCACGAGCCGTAGGCGAGTGCCGCATTTCACCCAAGACTGAAATGGCCTTCCCGCGCGAGCCACATATACTATTTTTTGTCACGCCCCTGCGTTCATGGAAAAGGTTATGCAGGGATCTATGCAACAATTATAGACTATTCTACAAAAACAATTTCATGGAAGACAT